ACATTCAAATCCATTCTGTCTTTGCTGTTGTTGTATGAATATAATTTAAATAATGGAACACCAAATTGGTAAACACCCACTAAAAGTATTTCTTCAAACATATTGGAGCAGATAGCTTTGTCCTAATTTAGGATAATTTCCTTGAAATTGATTCCCAGAAGAGGAATTCCTGGATCAAAAAGGCTTAGACATTATTTAAGCCTTTGATGCATATTTCCAAATTGCTTTCCCCTACTTTTTATTGAATTTATTGGGGTGACACTGGTTAACAAAATTGCACAGGTTTCAGATGCACAATTCTACAACACATCGTCTGTACACTATATGGGGGTTTACCACCTCAAGTCAAATCTCCATCCATCACCATTTATCCCCGGTATACCCTCCTTCACCTCTGCTATCCAGCAATTACCACACGGTTGTCCGTGTTCATGAGTTTTCTGTTTTTTTATCCTCACCCAAGGACACTTTTGCATTTATCTTCAGATAGAGCAGAAGGGAGAGAGGGGGGAGAGAGAGAGAGAGAAACATCGACATGAGAGAGACATCGACATGTGAGAGACACATCGACTTGCTGCCACCTACACAACCCCGCACCCCCAACTGTGGCCGGGAACAAACAGCAACCAAGGTGCATGCCCTTAGCAGGAACTGAATCCGGGACTCTCTAGTCCGCGGGCCGATGCTCTAACCGCTGAGCCAAACCGGCCAGAACCGTATTCATGAATTTTTTCTCAATCCCTCCACCCTCTCTACCCAGCCCCTTCCAAACCCTGCCATACTGCTTTAAAAAAATTTTTTTTGTTGTTGTTACCCGGCCAGTGTGGCTCAGTGGTTGTGTTGATCCATGCACCAAGAGGTCGCCAGTTCGATTCCCGGTCAGGGCACATACCCAGGTTGTGGGCCCAGTCTCCAGTGGGGGACATGCAGGAGGTGGCCAGTCAATGTTCTCTCTCATTAGTGTTTCTATCTCTCTCTCCTTCTCCCTTCTTCTCTCTCTAAAATCAGTAAAAGAAAAAAAAAAATTTAATTCTCACCTGAGGATATTTTTTCCATTGACTTTTTAGAGAGAGTGGAAGAGAGAGCACGAGATCAAATGGTTGCCTCCTGCACTCACCCAGCCACATGCCCCGACCTGGGCCTGGGATGAAACCTGCAATCCATGTATAAACTCCTGACGGGGAATCAAACCCAAGACCCTCCGGTGTGTGGGCTGGTGCTCCAATCACTGAGCCACATGGGTCAGAGCCAGTTGCTTTTCAAAAGGTTTTTAGCAAGTCATTTTCCCACCAGAAATGTAGGAGTATCCATTGCTCACACTAACACCAGCCTTTGGTGTTACCAGTTTTGTAAAATTTGAGTTTGAAAGGCTATCTATATAAATGAGCTCTTTTAGTTTGTACTTTGATTACTTGTGAGGTAGAAATTGCTTCTTGTTTATGGTTTCATGTTTCCTCTGACCATTTATTGGGTTCTTAGTCTGTTCATTACCAATTTTATGTGTTCTTTACGTAACAGAACGTAAAACATTATCTGTAAAACATTTATTTCCCAGTCTGAAGTTTGCCTTTTACTGTTGGCTATGATTTTGGAGTAGGGTATGGGTTTTTGGTTTGTTTCCAGCAACAGAAATTAAAAGACTGTTTTAATGTTTTATAAACCTGTCCATCTTTTCCTTGTGATTGCTTTCATTTTCACTAATCTTAGAAAACTATTCACTCCTCCAATGGCTGATTTTCTGTCAGGTTCAAGAATTGATGGAGCTGTCTGAGTTGTTTTGTCATATATATATTTTAATCCTCACCCAAGGATATTTTTCCATTGATTTTTATTTATTTATTTTTAGATAGAGTGGGGGAGAGAGAGGGAGGGAAGGAGGAATGGAGAGGGAGAGAGAAAGAGAGAGAAACATGGATGTGAAAGAGACACATCAATTGCCCCCCCACCCCCACCCCACCAATGACCCCGGCTGGGGCTGGGGATCGAACCCACAACCAAGATACTTGCCATTGACTGGAAATCAAACCTATAATTCTTTGGTCCACAGGCCGATGCTCTAACCACTGAGCGAACTGGCCCGGGGAATTTGCCATTTTTTTTAATAACAAAGAGAGAAGATTATTTCTTTTTTTCATACATTTTACTGTCCTTGACTCCTTCTTTTTTAGTACCTTGAAATATGCTCATTGATGGGTGGAGACTCTAGGAGGTAATGTGTATGTGTATATGCATCCCCAAAAGTTTGGAAGAATATTTACCAGAAAATATTAACACTGGTTATTTCTGATTGATGGGAACAGGGCTGGGATGACTTTATTATTCACGCCTGCCCAGCACCCCTATTTCCTTTGGGCAAGATACCCCTCTTCATTCCTTGTGACTCTGGCGTGCTTACACATGACAGTTCCTCTGGCAACAGTTTTGGGGGCCAAGGGGCAGGTATGTCACTCCAGCAGAACCCATCAGGGTCCTCTCCTGAGTATATAGCTCTCTTTCTGCTGGGTTCAGTTGGAAAGCTGGGGCTGCCTCAAACCGTTCCCTGCCAGGCAGAGATCACTCTACAGAGGAAAGGGAGCCAATGTGCAAAGACATCGAGACAAGGAGAGATGAGAGAAAGCAAATCCTATGAGTACTGTGTCTCCAGTCCAGTCTCCAAGACCTTGAATCCTAGTGTTTTTTCTTCTATCTTGCGTCAGCTATTGTGAGCCATAGGTTCATTTTTTATGAAACTGGCCTAGGTTGGGATTCTGTTACTTGGCAAATGAAGGAATCTGATCAGTGGCAAAAAAGATCTTGTGGCCCTGGCTGGTTTGTTTCAGTGGTTGGAGCATCAGCCTGTGGACCAGAGCGTCCTGGTTCGGTTCCTGCTAGGGGCATGTACCAAAAAAAAAAAAAAAAAATCTTGTGTGTGGCTTTAGTATTTTATGTAATTTTCTTGAATGATCATGTATTATTTGTTCAGTAGAAATATGAGTTAAAAAATTTTTTTTTCATTAATTTTTTGAGAGAAAGAGAAAGGGCGAAACAGAAACACCAATGTGAGAGAACATCAAATGGCCACCTCCTGCATGCCCCCCACTGGGGATTGAGTCCACATCTTGGCATGTGCCCTGACCGGGAATCGAACCAGCAACCTCTTGGTGCATAGGTCGATGCTCGACCAGTGAGCCGCACCAGCTGGGCAGTAGAAATATGTTTTAAAATGAAAAAAGACAGCCCTGGCCAGTGTGGCTCAATTGGTTGAAGCCTCCTCTGTACACTAGAAGGTGGCAGGTTTGATTCTTGGTCAGGGTACATGCCCAGGTTTCAGGAGGTGGTTTATAGATGTTTCTCTCTCTCTCTCTCTCTCTCTCTCTCTCTCTCTCTCTCTCTCTCTCCCTCCCTCCCCGCCTTTCTCTCTAAAATAAATTTTGTGTTTGCTAAAAAAAAAAAAAAAAGAAAGCGTAAGTGCCCTCAGACATGCTTGAAAGTAGACAGAATATAAAACAGCATAAAAATTATACAAGTCCTCAAAAAGACAAAAGCCACCTTATCACCTTGGGAATGTTAATGAGATAAACAGGAATTTGTGGTGAGACAACCTCAGCTCAGTGGGTGTGTTGGGTGGGTGGAGGGAAGGGAGATGGATCTCAGTCCTGGGCATGAAGTGTGTTTTTCCATGGATTAGACAGTCTGAGATACTGAGATGTGGGGGAGGGAAATTGCCACTAATAAATCAGTCCTTTCTTTGAGCCTCAGTTCACACTAAGTCTAGCTCTCATATTTTGAATCCCTACAGGCACTTCAGATCCATTATCTCAGAATTCTCAGGAGAATTGAGTCAGTCATCAAAATTCTCATATTTCAGATGAAGAAACTGAGGCTCAGAGAGGTTAAGTGTAACTCAGATAAATCAATCTCTAAAGCCTCAACATCTTCCTCTCATCTGTACACTGGACATACTCAATTGACCACCCTCTGACACAGCCCTAAGAAGAGAGAAAAACCAGCTGAAACTGAGTTGGAATAAGCATTGTCTTCTCCCCATCTCCAGCTAGACAATGCAGGAATTTGGGGGGGGGGGGCACTGGGAGGTGATGAAGGTGAAGTGGGGGTCCCAAGCAGTGTGCTTCCCAGGCTGGTCACAGCCCAGTCCTACCCCCACTTCCTGTGAGTTGCTCCCCCCTCCTTTACTCGGCACCAAATTTCTTCCCAAGGAAGGCCTTGCGCAAGAGGACCTCGGTCAGGTCCCTTGGCCGCCTGCCTGCCGTCCCAGGAGCAGTTTCATGACCCCTCCTCCCTTCCAGCCACCATCCCCTGGCGCCTGCCCAGTCACGCGGCATTTAGGTCCTCTTTGGCCAGCTTCCTTCCAGGATCCTGATTTAACGCCCCTCACCCCCCTCCGTTTCCTCCCCAGCCCCAGTCCCGCTGGGCACCACACCCAGGTGTAGGGAATTGGGGCATCAGCTCTGCCTCGCTGAGGGACCTCTTGCCTTATTTTTTCCACTTATGAAATAGGGTTCCTACCCTTTCACTGTCTCGATTCTCTTCATTGCCTACTCCCCCATCTCCCCAGTCTCAACAGTCTCCTGAGCTCTTGTGGGGGGCTTAATTCCCTTCTGGGCACTGCGGGTAGGAGTAGTAGAAAGGGGAGGGGAAACGGAGCCTCAGTCCTAAGGGTCTGAAAGAAACTCTACCAGGCGACAGGGTAAAACTGGCCAGCCCATGGCATCACACAGGCATAGGTTCGAATCCGGCTTTGCTCCTGACCAGCTGCTGAATTTAAACCCTTCATCTCTTTTGGGCCTCAGTTGTCCCCTCTGTGAAAGGGCGGTCCCACCGGAGACGAAGGGCTGGAAGAATCAGCAGAGAACCTGACCTGTACCTTGGGTCCCTCCGGGCTCCGCACTCCCCTTCCCCAGCCGGGAGCTGAGCCGCACCTCTTAGTACCTTGTCCCTCCGCCGCAGGCTCCTCCTCCACTGACATCAGAGCCGCAGGCGGGCGGAGGGAGCCAGCTGAGCCGGAGCCGAGTCCTAGCTTGAGAGCTGGCGGGCGGGCCAGGCGTTCAGCGGTGGCAGACCGTGGCGGGAGCTCAGCGCCAGCCCCTCGGGCCTCCCAGCCAGTCCCGCGGCGGAGCAGCCGCAGGTACAGCCTGGGCGGGGGGAGCGTCCCGCCTTTGCCCCTGGGCGCCTAGGAGGGCAGCCGGACCCTGCTGCCGCTGGATGCCCTCCCCCAAGAATGAAAGGGGGTGCCGGGGCTGGCAGGACTCTGGATGGGCTGGGCTGGGTGGGCCTCCCCCACCACACACCTCTGTCTCAGGCCCAGCAGGTGCCTGCGGGCCGGTGGGCCGGTGGGCCGGTGGGGAACTGAGCGGGTAACAGAAGGAAGGTAGGGAGGGGTTCGTGTGTGTGTGTGTGTGTGTGTGTGTGTGTGCAAGCAGCTGGGCCTGAATGTGGAAGGACTGGGCATTTGGAGGTAGAGATGTGTGGGGGCCGTGTTGGGGTGCTAATGTCTCAGCACAGGCGTGTGGATCAGATGCAGAGTTGCGCTGTGTTGGTGTGTGTTTTCTTATGGGTGGGGATGTCTGGGAATCCGTGTTTTTGCTGCAGATATGTGTCCTGGTGTTGTGCATGCTGGTGTCCCAAAAGGTAGTAAGAGTTGAGGAGGATATATGATTGTGTCCTGAGGATGTTTGAAGTTGGGTGTGTAAGTTGTTGGGGTTTGGTTTCTAGTATAGGAGCTTCTAGGGTGTATAGGAACTGGAGGGTGGAGGGTATGAGTGAATCCAGATGCTGGGTATACAGGTGAGGGGTGTGTGTGTTGTGTTTCTGGGTATCATCTGGTCTAAGTATATACAGATGTGTGTTTCAAGATGTGAGAGGGATTTTTAGGTGTGGATGTTTGGGGTTGGGAAATCATGTGTTTGGACATATGTGCTCTTGTTTGTGTATTCATATATCATCAAGTGTCATGGTATCTGGGTATGGAGTGTACTGGATCTGCAGACAGGTGGTTTGGGTTCAGCGGTGTGGGTGGGGCTTGGTGTGGTGTGTCTAGGTGCAGGGATATGTATGGAACTGTGAGGGTTGTATGTGCCAGGCCTCAAGGTGGGTTTTTAAACTCTGCCTCTAGAGCTTACCCCATCTCATTACCCCTCTCATTTCCTGAAGAGGTGGCTGGCACTGACTCTCGCCACCGTCCACTGCTGCTGCGCACCCAGCCAGGCATCCCTGGGAAGGAGGTCCCATCAAAGGAGTGGGATCTCACACTAAGGACTCTAGTCAGGGCACCTTCCTCACATTCTCCTGCAGAGGAGAGAAGGAAAGTGCCCTCCTTGAGGTCACACAGCATGCTAGGCTCTGTTTCCACCTCAGCCTTTTTGGATTTGGGATTGAAAGGCTGTGTTCTCTGAATGGGCCCCAGTCTGGCTGCATATCGGAAGGGCCAGTTGAGGGCAAACCAGAGGAAGAACCCATCTAAGGCTTTTGCCCTCAGCAAACTTAGTTGGGGCGCTAGTGAGGGATCACCTGGGAAACTCTGGACCTAGCCCCTGCCCATTGTCAACCTCTGTCTTCCTATTTGCCATCTAACAAATGGAGAAAGAATTCCCACCCTCTCCTGCAGAGGTCTCAGCAGTATAAGGTACAGGCTGGATCAAGGTCAGGTGAAGTCAGGAGGGGACAGACTGGGGGGGACCATTTCTCAGGCTGCTGAGACCCAGATAGGGAGTCAGGTGGGAGGGGGGAAATAGGAGTCCTGGCAAGTTCCAGCTGTGGCTGCTATTGCCATGGCAACAGTGCAGAAGGAGCTATTTAAAACCATGCTGAGATATTGCTGGAAGCCCCGGCTGCCTGAAGCCTGATTTCCGAGAGGCTGAGTGGGGAGAAGGAGGAGGAGGGAGAGGAGAGACTCCAGCAATTCCCAGGGTGGGGCCGGTACATCGCTGGTTCTAGGCACAGGGGGATCCTCCTGGGTTTAGTGATTCTAGAAGCTGCTCTGGGGTCTTCTCTGCTATCCTTTGTGAGGCCAGGTTCCCCTGGGGTGTTTGGATTTGGAGAGGGAGAAACTGGGAGATAAGCTGAATGCATGAATGAATGAATGAGTGAATGACTGTTGAATAAAGAATTTTTTTGCCACCACGAAGCATTTTCCTCTAGGCATAAGGATTTGCTAAATGAATAAATGACTGGTGAATGAATGAATGTTTATTGAAAGATTTTGTCGTATAAATGAACCGAAGATGAATAGATGCAGACTGAATGACTGAATGGGGCTCCCAGTAATTTCCCGCATAGAAGTCTGGGCCCCACTGACTCTTTTCCTTCCATTTCCCTTTCCAGAAGCCCTGGCTGTGGCCGGGGGACAGTGGGCCATGCCAGGGGCAGTGGAAGGCCCCAGCTGGAAGCAGGTGGAGGACATTGGGGACATTTACGACTTCCGTGATGTTCTGGGAACGTGAGTCTCAGGGCAGAAGAGAATGGGGCTGTCCCTGAGCTGAGGGGTGGGATTGGGAAAGTCCTCACTCAGGCCTGGCTGGCTGGGAGGCTGAGTTCAGGGTGGTGCTTCCTCTGGTCAGTTGATCACTACTTCCTTTTTCCTATAGCCCAGCCTTGTGGCAGTCTTGCCATGGCCAATACTGGCTTTTCATTTCTGGCCAACAGTGGACATAACAGGGACTGCTCTTGCCATAGTTCTGGGTTCCCATGAAGAGAAGGAACTAGGAGGGAATGAAGGAATCAGTTTATCCAACTTGCTGCCAAGAGCTGCGAATCCTGGCTTAAGTCTGGCAACTGCAGCTGGGCATAGCTCTGTTCTTCGTGCTGGGAGTCCAGAAATAACTAAACCTGGTATCTGCCCTCAAGTTGATCCCAAACATGTGAGGGAGACAGACACACAGAAAATGACAACTGGGTGCACACTGGGCTCCAATTAAAGAAGGGAATGAGGACTCTGTAGAGCCCAGAGAGAGCAGAACATGCCTCCAGCCTTTGCTTATGCTATTCCTTCTGCCTGGGGGAATACTTTCTGAAGAAGGGGGCATTAGAGCTGGGTACTGAAGGATGAGTAGGAGTGTATTTGTCAGAGAAAGAGGACATTCCAGGCAGAAGGAATAGGATAAGCAAAGGCTGGAGGCATGTTTTATGTGGAAAGGGGCAGAGTCAGGTGGAGCTTATCATCAGAGGCTGGGGAAGAGTGGAAGAGGCTGGAGAAGAAAGAGGAATAGATCATGCAAAGCCTTAAAAGCCAAGCTATGGAGGCTGGACTTTATCCTACAAGCCATAGGAAGACATTTAAGACTCTGGCAGGTTTGCAATTCAAGATGGCCACTCTGGCCACAATATGGAGGGTAAATTGGAGAGGGACAGGACTGGAAACCAGCAACGAAGCTACCACTAGTTATTCTGATGACTGAGATTTCACCATGGGAGATGCTTTTCATTGACTTATGATCTATTATCCAAAAAGTTGTAGGAAGAATACTGTAGTAAACCCTCCTTAGTGAACTTCAGTGCAACTGACTTTATTTGTTCCTTTCTAAGAGCCTGTTCTAAAGCAATGCTGCTCAAACTTCAGTGGGCATAATAATCACCCAAGGATCTTGTTAAAATGCAGATTCTGATTTAGTAGGTCTGGGGTGGGGCCTGAGATTCTGCATTTATAAACAGTTCCCAGGTGATGCTGATGGTATTTTAAGGTTCTAAAGGGTGTTAAATTAGCCATGACTTAAATTGGCTTTAGCAGAAAAAGGAATCAATTATGCACATAATAAAAAATCTCAGGGTAAAAACTTCAGGCATGGCTGGATCCAGGGGCTCACATGATGTTATCAGGGAATTGTCTTGGACCATTTTTCAGCCCTAATTCCCTTTGTGCTAGTTTCATTCTTGAGCAGGTTCTCCCCAAGTGGTGAGATGACTACTATTAACCCCAGGCTTACATTCTACCAGCTTAGCAGGAGAGAACACCACATCTCAAAGTGCCAATAACCCAGCTTGCATCACATGACCCAATTACTGTGGCCAGGGCACCGACTACTCTGATCAGCACTAGAGGATGGATGAGTGATGGGGGGAGGCTCATCCCACCTCGTTGGTCCAGAGGTAGTCACATAACCCATAGAGGACGGAGGAAAGGCTGGAAGGAAACTGGGGTTCAAGTTCCCTGTCTCATGAATACCTCTTCCTGCAGGGGGGCCTTCTCAGAGGTAATCCTGGCAGAAGATAAAAGGACTCAGAAGCTGGTGGCCATCAAATGCATCGCCAAGAAGGCTCTGGAGGGCAAGGAGGGCAGCATGGAAAATGAGATCGCTGTGCTGCACAAGTGCGTGAGCCATGGCCTGCCCCTGCCCAGGTTGATCCTGCCCTGCCTCTTTTATCCCCATCTGACCCCTGCTTTGGGCAAATCATTTAACCTCTCTGAGCCTCAAATTACTCATTCATAAAATGGGGTAATAATCTCCACTTGTCAAGGTTGTGAAGCGCATTAGAGGCCCTTTATTTCAAGTGCCTGGCACAATAGCTAACATGACAGGTGTGATTGAGATGTCATTGCTTATTTACAGGGGTTTAATCTGTTCAATCGGTTCTAAAGGTCAATCCTTGAACAGGGCTTGAATCCACGTAGCCCAACTGGTGTTATCGCTAAACCTCAAGTTCCCCCACATAATAAACCACCCAGAAAGTTAAAAAATGCCTGCGTGCTGACCTTCTGACTAAATCAACAACACCTGGACTATCAATTGTTCCTGCTGATGTGAAACTTGCTGCCTCACTAGAAAGCTTATAGAGAATCTTCACTTCTAGTCTCTTCCCTGAGATTTCTAACCACTCCAGGCAGGGACAAAATGACCATTTCCACTCTTGGTAGTAGGGGTGGGGGAACTGAGGCCCAGAGAAGGCAAAGGTCTTGTCCAAGGTCACAGAGTAAGTCTGTGGCAGAGCCATCTTCCAGCAAGCTCAGTCACCATCATTGGTTCATTTTTTGAGTATTTGCTATGTGCCAGGCATCTTACTTACCATATCTGCATTATCTCATGTGATCCTCACCCTAACTCTTTGAAGGAGGTACTGTTATTGGCTTCATATTCTAGATGAAGAAACTGAGCCTCAGAGAGGTTACACTCAATTCAACGAAATTCATGAGCACGTAATCTGCACCAGGTGCTGGAGGAACTGTACTAAGCAGGATAAAGCATGATCTTGTGTAGGCTGACTTATTGACACAGAAGAAAAATTAAAATTATGTATTGATTAGCATTGTGAGATGAAAATACTTGTCTCCAAATAGCATGTAGTAGAGGCAGGTTTGGACCCAAGTCTGTCCAATGCCAAAGTCTAGTGTTTACCTCTGTGCTCGCCTGCCTTCTGATACATTATAATCAATTGTGGTATATCAGCTTTTCCCTTTGGGATCCAGACCCTTGGTTTATCCTACCCAGGTTTTCAAGCAGCCCTTCAAGGTGAGAGTGGGAAGGTGGCTGAGCTGTCTTCAGCTCTGAACTACCTCATTTCTCCATTCAGGATCAAGCACCCCAACATTGTTGCCCTAGATGACATCTATGAGAGTGGGGGTCACCTCTACCTCATCATGCAGCTGTGAGTGGCCCCACCTCTGACTCTTCTTTATACCTCTCTGTTGCCCCCTCCCTATCTTCCCTGGGTCTTCTGATCTCTTGGCCAAACTCCCCTGTTCCCTGCTGCAGGGTGTCAGGAGGGGAGCTGTTTGACCGCATTGTAGAAAAAGGCTTCTACACGGAGCGGGATGCCAGCCGCCTTATATTCCAGGTGCTGGATGCTGTCAAGTATCTGCATGACCTGGGCATTGTACACCGGGACCTCAAGGTGGGGTGTGAGGGTGTGGTGAGCTGGGGCACCCAGGGGTGGGAGCTCTGTACATTCCTCACTTTGTGTGATTTGGGGTAACTCTCACCCCTTTTTTTTTTCCTCACCCGAGGACATTTTTTCATTTTTTGTTCAGATAGAGTGGGAGGGAGAGAGAGGAACAGAGAGAGAGAGAAACATCGATGTGAAAGGAACACATCGAGTGGCTGCCACCCGCACGACCAACCAGGGCCGGGGACAAACTGCAACCGTTAACTCTCACCCCTTTGCTGAGCCTTGGCTTCCCATCTGCAAAATGGACCTTGTAAGCCCTAAACTGCCTCCTCCCATTCCAGTTTGGATACTCAAAGGGACACAAAGGTGAACTCTACTGTCATTTTATCCAAATAATGTCTTGTCTTCTTCTATAATAAAATTCCCAATTGCTCTTTGTAGAAAACTTGGATTGGAGAACAAAACATGATGACAAAATTTAGAAACCCTGAAATCCTTCTCAGAGATTATGATGGGGTTCACATTTTGCAATACATCTCATGCCAGTCTAGAAGACCAGACCTGGGTGAGACAGATATGAGTTTTAATCCTGGCCCTGTTAATCCCTAACTGTAGGTTCTCAGGCAAGTCACTGTCCTCTCAAGGCATCAGTTTCCTCATCTGTAAGATGGGTTATTCAGGCCAGGCAGGGATGTGGTAAGGATGAAGTAAAATCAAGCAATAGCACAAGATCTGGCACACAGTAGGTGCTCAAAAATGATTTCTTTAGGACTTCACAATAAATACCTGAGATTTACAGAAAATTTCCTCCCACATCGTCATGGCCCTTGTCCTTTCTAGAACTTGTAACCTCCTTGAGAACGTCCTTGTGTTTCTTGTGCCTCCAATCAAGATAACTACTGTGAAGCCACAATGGTTTTGGGGGGCCCATTGTTTCACAATGGGTGCTTGGGGAGATAGAATGTTCTGCCAGCCTCTGGCCATCTCTGACTGCCCCTTCGCCTCCCTCCTTCCCTCTAAGCCAGAGAACCTGCTGTACTACAGCCTGGACGAAGACTCCAAGATCATGATCTCTGACTTTGGCCTGTCTAAGATGGAGGACCCCAGCAGTGTACTCTCCACGGCTTGCGGGACCCCGGGATACGTGGGTGCGGAGGGTCCTGGGCTGGAGCCATGGGCAGGGGAGGGAGCCAGGAGCTGCAGGGCAGAGATTTGTCACCACCATGTCCTCTTCCCTCCATAGCCCCTGAGGTCTTGGCCCAGAAGCCCTATAGCAAGGCAGTAGATTGCTGGTCCATTGGAGTCATCGCCTATATCCTGTAAGTGGGGGCTTGGCCATTGGGGTGTATGGCTCCAGAGTTCTCCTCTCCCCTACTTTGCTCTCTTCCTCCCATCTGCTATTTCTTCCTCCCTGCCATCTACATTTTTAGCTACCAATTAACAACTAATACTACTTCATTCAATAGATACTATGTTTCAGGCTTTGCACCAAGCACTGGGGATTCGGCAGAGAACAAAACAGGCAAAGGGCCTGCCCTCAGGGAGCAGACACTCTAGTAGGGGAGAAAGACAAGTAAATAAACAAGTAAACAACAAGTAAATAAATCCATAAACTGTCAGGTGGTAAAAAGTGCTATGAAGAAAAATGAAGCAGGGTAGGGAGAGGGGAATGGATGCCATTTTAGATAAAAAGGTCAAGGAAGGCCTCTCTGAGGAGGTGCCATTTGAGTGGCATCCTAAATAAAGTGAACCAGACATAAACAGCAAGTGCAAAGGCCCTGAGGAAGGAAAGATGGTGGCATATTAAGGAATAGAAAGTGGATCTGGACAGTGGTGAACAAGGCAGAGAGAGGTAGATTCCCCCAGCCCCTTTTGTAAAAGGAGGAACTCCTTCCTATGGGTCTTGCCTGACCTCTGGGACTGCCCCAAAGCTCCATCCTGGAGCCAATGGTACACTGAAAATGGAAATGAGGATGAGTTTTTCCCTGCCCAGGCTCTGCGGTTACCCCCCCTTCTATGACGAGAATGATGCCAAACTCTTTGAACAGATTTTGAAGGCCGAATACGAGTTTGACTCTCCTTACTGGGACGACATCTCTGACTCTGGTATTTGGGGCTTTGCCTTCTTCCCTTGGGCCCTACCTCTGGTGCCTTCCTCAACTGCTTTGGGGGTCTCCTCACTGCCTTCCTTCAGTCAATTCCCAGGCCCCAGACTAAGAGATGTCTTTGAGACACCCACCTCAGGTTCTTCCTTCTGCCTGGCCCTGATCTGAGGAACCTGTAGGCATTCATTTATTCAGTCTCCAAACATAGTATTTTTGAAAATACCTCCTCCACTGACATCCTAATGCCTAAACCACCACATAAAAGTTTCATCTGTCCTTTTGTGCCTCCTAAGAGGAGGCAAATCTGTGAAACCATTATCAATCATTTACACATCAGTGTGAATACACTGAGTAGAATCTTTTCTAAGAACAAGTTTTTCTTAAGGGAAAAAAGAGCGAGTTGGAAGGCTGGGGTGTGTGGAGGGCTTAGAGAAACAGAATAAGTGGGGTGGGGCAGTGCATGGACAGGTCTGGCCTCTCGTCTTGCTTGGATGATAGGCCAGACCGGAGGGAGTGGGTTCTGTTTTGGGAGTGTCCATAGGCACTGCCATGCACTTTCTGTCTTTGTTTTTGTCTTGGGGGTTCAGCCAAAGACTTCATCCGGCACTTGATGGAGAAGGATCCGGAGAAGAGGTTCACCTGTGAGCAGGCCTTGCAGCACCCATGGTGAGAAATCCCATGAGTTGTGAACTGGGTTGGGGTCCGGGACCCCCAAGTCTGCCTCTGCCTTCACAGATAACCCTCCACACATACTCTACTCTAGGATTGCAGGAGATACAGCTCTAGATAAGAATATTCACCAGTCAGTGAGTGAGCAGATCAAGAAGAATTTTGCCAAGAGCAAGTGGAAGGTAAGCCTACATCCCTAGTCCTGGGTCCCAGCCTCTCCAGGACTCCTCCCCACCCCTCAACCAGGACTTAGCTTGCACAACACCTAACATCAAGTCAGGCACACAGTAACTGCTCAAGGATGCTTACCAAAGAACCTCTTTCATTCATTCAGTGCTTCCTGACATCTACTGTATTCCAGTGAGGGTCTCTGACCTCTAAGTCTAGAGGGAGAACAGTATAGAATTCTTTTTCGTTGTTAATTCTCACCTGAGGACACTTCTCCATTGATTTATTTTAGATAGAGTGGAAGGGAGGGATGGGGAAAGAGAAAGAGAAAGATCATGTGAGAGAGACACATCGATTGGTTGCCTCCTGCACAACCCCAACAGGAGAGCAAAGATCCAACCTACAACCCAGGTACACGCCCTTGACCAGAAATCAGACCTAAGACCCTTCGGTTCAAGGGCCAATGCTCTAATCACTGAGCCACACCGGCCAGGGCAGAACAATATATAATTACTTTTTTAAAATATATATTTTTATGCCCAGCCGGTGTGGCTCAGTGGATTGAGCATCCTCCCATGCAATGAGAGGTCCCAGTTTGATTCCTGGTCAGGGCACATGCCTGGGTTGCAGACTCAATCTCCAGTAGAGTGCATGCAGGAGGCAGCTAATTGATGTTTCTCTCTCGCATCAATGCTTCTCTCTCTCCCTCTCCCTTCCTCTCTCTAAAAAATCAATAAAAAAAAACATTTTTAAAAAACGTTATTATAGCCCTGGCTGGTTTGGCTCAGCGGTTAGAGCATCGGCCTACAGACCAGAGGCCCAGGTTCGGTTCCCACTAGGGGCATGTACCTTGGTTGCAGTTTGTCCCAGGCCTCGGTTGGGGTCTTGTGGGTGGCAACCACTCAATGTGTCTCTCTCACATCGATATTTCTCTTTCCCTCCCCCGCTTCCTCCCACTCTATCCGAAGATAAATGCAAAAATGTCCTCGGGTGACATAAAACAAACAAACAAACAAAAAACCTTTATTATGGATGCTGAAATTTGAATTTTTTATACTCATCATGTGTCATTAAATATTCTTTTCATCTTTTTCAAACCATTCTTGGCTCTCAGGCCATACAGGACAGGCAGGTCCAGATTTAACTTGTGAGCCGTCATTGCCAGACCCTACTCTAGAGCACTAGGATTTTAAGATGGATCTGCCCTTAGAGTTGGAATCAGTAAGTCTCTGCCCATCTCAAAAAATGAGATAAAAATGGATTTCTTTCCCCCTGGATGAAAGGAGTTGGGCTGAGTGAGCTAAGATTCTTTTATAATTTTAATCTATGTATAGCTGTTGCATAGAAAAAGTATGGACTATGGATCCAGACCCATCTAGGTTCAACTTCTGGCTCTGCCACTCACTGTGTGATCTTCAACAAGACACTTAACCTTTTGTGCCTCCATTTTCCCACATGTAAAATAATGTGCTAATAGGAGCTACATTACAGGGTCCTTGTGAGAATAAAATGGGTTTACACACACAGAGTGCTTAAAACATGCCTGCCACATAGGAAGCACTATATCAGGGTTAGCTGTCATCATTATTTTTATATTTGTTTTAATTGATTTTTTTTTTTTAGAGAGGAAGGGAGAGGGAGGTAGAAACATCAAATGACTGCCTCCTGCATGCCCCTCACTGGGGATGGAGCCCACAACCTGAGCATGTGCCCTGACCGGAAATCAAACTGGGACCTCTCAGTCTATGGGACGCCACTCAATCCACCGAGCCACACTAGCTTGCTGATGTATAATTCTTTTTTTTTTTTTTTAATCCTCACCCAAGGACATTTTTGCATTCATCCTCAGATAGAGTGGGAGGGAGAGAGAGAAGAAGAGAGAGAGAAACATTGAAGTGAGAGAGACACATCGAGTGGTTGCCACCCACACGACCCCAACCGGAGCCGGGGACAAACTGCAAGGGAGGTATGTGCCCTTAAGGGGAACCAAACCTGGTCCGTGGGCCAACGCTCTAACTGGCCGACGCTCTAACCCCTGAGCCAAACTGGCCAGGGCGTTAAAGAGACATCTAATCCAACCTGCAGGGTCCTTGAAGGGGCATAAAGGTGAAATAGCCTAACAGATCTGACAGCTGAGTAGGAATTAGCTATAGAATAATGTCTAAGGCAGAGGGAACCAATGTACAAAAGGCCAAGGGCAAGAGAGAGTGAAGCCATTCAAGGAAGTACCAGTGCTCAGCATGGCTGGACTGGAGGAGCTGAGGGGGTAGTGGGGGTTGATGGGCTGTGGGGCAGGAGCCTAAGCTCGAGATGCAGGTAGGGGCATCTCAGGGTCTCAAGTACCACAATGGAGCCCTAACTTGATCCTGACGATGCTGAGGAGTCCCAGAAAGATTTTCAGCAGGAATCTGCCCTTTAGAAAGGGCTCTCAGGCCCTGGCTCGTTTGGTTCAGCAGTAGAGCATCAGCTCACAGACCGATGAATCGCAGGTTCAATTCCGGCCAAGGGCATGTACCTTGGATACAGTTTGTCCCTGGCCCTGGTCGGGGTTGTGCAGGAGGCAACCAGTTGATGTGTCCCTCTCACGTTGATGTTTCTCTCTCTCCCTTTCTCTCCCTCTCCCTCCCACTCTGTCTGAAAAAAAAGAAAAGAAAAGAAAGGGCTCTCAGGACGCAGAGAGAGGCATGAAGTGAAGGCTGGGAGAACCCTTAGGAGGATTTGGCAGAGATGCAGGCAGGAGACAGTGAGGGCTGGAATTGACAAGAAGTAATGGTAGAATGGATGTTGGGGTGAGGAGATGTCAAGGGCTGGCCCAAAACTTATGGGGGGATGACTTTAGTTTTGGACATGGTAAATTTGAGGGGTATATGGGAACATCTATGTGGATATGTTGAATAATAATATATACACACCTGGGCAAGTTACTTAACCTCTCTGCCTCAGTTTCCCCCTTTGACAATGATGACACTAACAGCACTCATCTCAAAGACTTCTGTAAAGATTAAATGAATTACTATGTAAAGTGTTTGGAATGATGCCTGACACATAATGCTATGTTGTGTTAGCTATTATGTGACTATAAATTAATTATATATAAAAAGTTATAATCTATTTATATATATACTTTTTATATATGTGTGTAAATATATAACATGACTGAATATAATTTAATAAAGCCTTGAAGATATTTCAGTTTGCTTTAGGGGATCAATCAATAATACCTGAAAATAACAGAACCAGTGCAAGAATTCCACCTCCAGACCCTGTCCCATGATCACCCACTCTCAAAAGTCCCTTCTCACCTCTCCCCCCACAGCAAGCCTTCAATGCCACGGCTGTGGTGCGGCACATGAGGAAGCTACAGCTGGGCACCAGCCAGGAGGGGCAGGGACCGACGGCGAGCCACGGGGAGCTGCTGACACCAGCAGCTGGGGGTGAGGACCAGGACTCTGTGGAAGGGCATGGGTGGTCCATGAAGAAGCACCCAGGCTGGAGTGGAGGGTCTGCTTCTACAGTCAACTCTGTTTTCTCTTTCCATGTAGGGCCAGCGGCTGGCTGCTGCTGTCGAGACTGCTGTGTGGAGCCAGGTCCAGAAATGTCCCCCAGACTGTCCCCCCAGCTCTAGGTCCCTGGATCCAGGGTCAGGATCCCCTGTGTGGGAGAGATTGGAGACAGTCTGATCCTCTTCTCTCCTTGAACTGGGGTTACCCTGCTCTACCCCAACCCTACCCCTTTCCCTACCACGCCTCCACTGCATTTTCCATACAAATGTTTCTATTTTATTGTTTCTTCTTGTAATAAAGGGAAGAGGATAAAACCATAGGTAGCTTTGTCTCCCCAAATAACCCCCACCCCACACTGTTGTACAAACTGCTTGATTTGAGGATGCCTAGTCCCTGAGGTAGTCGCATGGAGTCCCATTCCCAACAAGGCTGGATGGAGGAGAGTATGAGGAATGGAGGGAAAAGGTGTTGGAAGAATCTCTTTGTCTTGTGCCTCCCACCTAGCCTTCTGTAGATCTCTTTCTGCGCTTTGCTGGTGGTTCTTGGTGGGGTTGGTGCAGGTCAGCACTGAACAGTACCTGGGGGCAGGGGGAAAAGTCTGTGTGGGGACAGGTACACTGGGTTCGGGGTCACTGGGGCTGGTGGCAGTGTGGGGAGACATAGAATTCCTGAGGAACAGGGCTAGGGCAACACAAGTCTACTAGGGTCAGGGCTGAGGGTGGAGGGTAGAGAATCCTTTAGGGTCACCTGGGGTGGTGGCAATAGAAGAGTCCCCTGGGTCAGGGCTAGGGGAGAAGTCCTAGGGGGTCTGGGCTTCTGAGGAGAGGAAGCCTAGGTATACTCACTGCTTGGGCCCAGCCAGCATAAGGTCCCCACAGGCTCCGGAAAAAGTTTCCTGAATCAGAGGTAATGAGGCAAAACAAATTGTTGCCTTCCACTCTCCATCCACAGGGGTAGGGTATTAGGGAGGGGTGTAAGAATTTTCTAATAACTCAGCCTACTGCCTGCCCTGGCATCTCCCTTGCTCCTTACCTAGTTCCTTGTTGGCCTGGGGGCTTGGACCCTTGGCCTGGGTTGTGGTGGGGTGCCAGCTGTAGTCACGTTGGGCGATCTGCCACACATGGACATCCACTGGCACGGCCTGGGGCTTGTCTAGGGCCATCAAGCAGATGCAGTCGGCTACCTTTGATGGACATAGAGTGAGTCACAGAGGAGAAACGGCAGGATCCAGGCAGCATCCTGCTTCTAGCCCCAAAGCCAGATATACTTCCTCCTCTACTCTGAGGTTACCATTATTCTATATTCTCAATCAATATACATCATCTATTAAAATATTCAATACAGCTATGATGAGAGTGCTACTGCATGAACATCTATGTAGGCCAAGTTCTCATAACCTGGAAGAAGCCTTGGTACTATCTTCATTTTGCAGATAAGAAAACTGAAGTTTCTGAAAGGTGAAGTGACTTGGCCCAAGTTACATGGCTAGGAGGAGGCAGAACAAAGATTTAATGTTAGAGTGAAGTTCAGAGCCCATTAAACAAAAGTTCTTTAAACAAAAACTACAAATAAGTATACAGAAGAAAATAATAAATGCCAGATTCCCAATCATCTTGTTGAAATTAAAAAGTTTTATAAGCACATAAAATTTCAAGAGAATAATAAAATAAAAAGTAGAAACATCTTCCTATGTGTCTTCTCAAAGGTAACTACTATATTGCCCTGGCCAGTTTGGCTCAGTGGTTAGAGTGTCAGCCTGTAGACTGAAGGACCTCGGGTTCATTCTCGGCCAAGGGCACGTACCTGAGTTGCAGGTTTGATCCTGGCCCTGGTCAGGGTTGTGCAGGAAGCAACCAATCAATGTCTCTCTCTCTCTTTCTCTCCTTCCCTCCCATATTTCCCCTCTATCTAAAAAAATGAATAAATAAAAATTAAAATTAAATAGGAAAGAAGGCAGCAATTTCTCACCCCATTCTTTTAAAAAGAAAAAAAAAGTAACTATTATTAAGTTTCCTTCCAGAATTTTCTGTGTGTGTGTGTGTGTGTGTGTGTGTACATATACACTTGAACAAATGGCCTTTCTATAAACACATTTGAAGGGCAATGTCCTTTATAAACTTTTAGCATTTTCTCTAATAAAATACCTGCTTGTATCCTTTCTCCTTCCTACTCTGCCAACAGAAGCTGAGCCTGCATCCAGCTCTCAGGCCTGCCTTGTCTCCTATTCTGTTCCTCTCTACATGGGTATTGAGGGTAGCTCCTACCGTCCTGGAGCCTCACCTTGGTACCCACCCCAGGCAGGGTGCAGAGGGCCTTGTGGGCCTCTTCGTAGGGGGCCTTTTGCAGCTGCTGTAGCCACAGCAGCCCACCCTGTTTTTCAAGGATGGCTCGGGCACTGGCATTCACATAGCGGGCACGGTACCCAAGGCCCAGCTTCCTGAGCTTAGCTTCCACCTCCAGCCCTGTGGGGGAGTGGAGAAGGGAGCAGAGGTCAGGCATCCTCAAATACTTTATATCCTCAGGCTAGTATGAGCCCTCCACCCCACAGGAATGTTTTCCCTAAGCACTCCTCTCCCACCTCACTACCCTCTGGGAGACCCCAAGTCACTTGCATGTACAAAGGACAGTTTAGGGCCTGGTTTCTACCCTCTACAAATGTTTTCTGAGCACCTACTATGTGTTGGTCACTGGAACAGGGACTCAGAAGGACTTGCTGCCCTGGAGGAACTCCCCAATTGAGTTTCTTAACCTTTCCAAAGGGCTGTTCACATCCATAATCTAAAATAATAGTCATAATAGCAACAGCTTCTATGATCAAGTGCTAGGTATCAAACATAAGCAAAATACTTTAGGGACATTATCACACTTACTTTCCTTAAAGACCTTGATGATAGTACTGTTGTTTTTCTTATTTCACAGATGGAGAAAATGAGGGCTTAGAAAAGGTTAAGTAACTTACTCAAGAAAGGACACGGTAGAGATGGGATCTGCACCTGGGTCTGGGACACCAACTTCTGTGCTCTAAACCTGCTTAATTATTGCTTTATTCACCCCTTACACCCTTCTAGCTAGGAAGTGTTATTCCCATCCTACAGACAGGTTAAGAGAAGCCTGAAGAGAGGAATGAATTTCTTGAGGTCTTATGACGTCTAAGCTGGGAGCTAAGGCCTAACACTGGGTTTATAAACACCAAAAACATTCTCTTGCCCTGGCCAGTTTGGCTCAGCGGTTAGAGCGTCCGCCTGCGGTCTGGAGAGACCCGGGTTCGGTTCCCGCTAAGGGCATGTACCTCGGTTGCAGTTTGTCCCCGGCCCTGGTTGGTCGTGCGGGTGGCAGCCACTCGATGTGTCCCTTTCACATTGATGTTTCCCCCTCTCTCTCTCTTCCTCTCTCTCCCTCCCACTCTGTCTGTACAAAAAATGGAAAAAAGGTCCTCGGGTGAGGATTAAAAAAATAAATAAATAAATAAAAAATAATTAAAAAAACAAAAACAAAAAAAAAAAACATTCTCTTTTCTCCAGGTAGGCTGTCTCCTTACTATGCATTCCCCAAGCACTTCCCCTAGCTTGGTCCTCACGTCTGCCAATTGAGATACTTGCCTTACAGGGCTGCTGTGATGAATACATATGTTCCTGGATACAAAATTATTGGATTCAATATGGAGATAGCAACTTGAATTTTTTGCGTATTTCCTATATGCCAAACACTGTGCTAGGTGCGGTTATGTATTCCTTTACTCAACCCTTGTGACAACTCTGATAGGTTATTATCCCATTCCACAGATGAAGAAACAGGGGTGCAGAGAGGCTAAATAAGTGCCAGAGTGGGGATTCAGACTCAGGCGGTCTGTTTCCAGAACACGTGTAGTGGCTCTCTCAGGAGCACACCCGTACCTTTCCTCACCCTCTTCCTCCAATGTGCATTTTCCGTGCCTCTTTCTTTCTTCTAGGCTCCAAGGGCCCTTCTTCTGTTTCTGTAACTTGTTTTCTGAGCTAATTTCTTCCACAGCTCCCTTTTTCTACTTCTGTAACTTTCTAAATAAACTTTTTTTAAATATTTTTTTTCCTTTATTGATTTTAGAAAGAGAGGAGATGAGAGGGAGACAGAGATAGAAACATCGATGAGAGAGAACATCAACTGGCTGCCTCCTGCATGCCCCCCACTGGGGATCGGGCCCACAACCTGGGCATGTGTCCCGATCGGGAATCGAACGGCGACCTCTTGGTGCACGAGTCGACGCTCAATCACTGAGCCACGCCAGCCGGACTAAATAAACTTTCTTTTAAAATAATAATAATAAAAGAACACATGTGCATTTAACCCCAAACTACTGTACACTGCATATGGATCTTTTTTTTGATGAGGCATTGAACCCATAGGGCAAAAAGCAGAATAGTGAGGTGATGACATTTCAGGGACAGATAGGGAGGGTGAGGTATGACTGTGGCTGACTGAACCAGGCAGGGTGATTCTAGATGAGTGAAATCGTTGGGAAGGCAGGAAACTTTGAGATGGGAGATGGGGACCAGGGAAAAACTGAACAGACCCTGAAAGCTGTTGGTGGACCTTGGGATAGGAACCAACCTACTCACCAGCCAGGGCCTGCAGGCTGGGGAAGCCATGGTAGGTGACATCATCGAGCTGGATGAGCCGAGGTCCGAAGGCCTGGCAGAGCCGCTCCACCATACCAGTGATGCGGGCAATGTTGTTGTTGGAGGAACAGATGAAGGAGAAAAGGCACTCGATGGGGTCCTGTTGTAGGAGTCGGACACCTGAAAATCAGAAAGGCAGGGAGTAGGAGAAGCACTGCTGTCGGGAGTGGCCTCCTCTCACCCTTAGATCCTAGGCACCTAGGCTCCCAGAAAATTGAGGGACAATGTTGTTAGAGAAAGCAACACCAAAGCTCTCATTCCTCATAGCATCTTGTGAGGTCTGGGTCATCATCCCATTCCACCGATAAAAGAAACCACAATGTAAGCACTATGAGGGTGGGAATTTGTCCATTTTGTTTACTGCTATATCCTCAGTCACATAGCAGATGCTCTGTAATATTTACTGAATGAATGATGTCACCTGCCTCAGGTCACACATCCAGAATTTGACTCAATATCCTAGTCACTCCACAATGGTGATCAGCAGGATAAGCATTGATTTTTAAAAAAATATGTTTTCTTACCCTGGCCAGTTTGGCTCAGCGGTTAGAGTGTCTGCCTGCGGTCCGGAGAGACCCGGGTTCGGTTCCCGCTAAGGGTATGTACCTCAGTTGCAGTTTGTCCCTGGCTCTGGTTGGTCATGCGGGTGGCAGCCACTCGATGTGTCCCTTTCACGTCGATGTTTCCCTCTCTCTCTCTTCCTTCCACTCTGTCTGTACAAAAAATGGAAAAATGTCCTCGGGTGAGGATAAAAAAAAATATATATATATATGTTTTCTTTATTGATTTTAGAGTAACAGGAAGGGAGAGGAAGAGAGAGATAGAATCATCAATGACATAGAACATCGAATGGCAGCCTACTGCATGCCCCCTACTGGGGATTGGGCCTGGGCATGTGCCCTGACCGGGAATTGAACCGATAACCTTTTGGTGCATGGTCAATGCTCAATCACTGAACCACACCAGCCGGGCGATGAGCATTTGTGTTTTTTTGGTGTGTGTTTTTATAGAGAGAGATGTGAGAGAGAAACATTGATCGGTTGCCTCTCACATGCACCCCAACTGAGAATTGAACCCACAACCTGGGTATGTGCCCCGACCAGGAATTAAACCAGCAACCCCTTGGTGCACAGGACGATGTTCAAAGGACAATTACAATAGTAATAATAACTACTATGTGTCAGGCACTCTAAACACTCGACATGTATTAGCTCATTTAATCCTCATAAAATCCTGAGGTAGATATAATCCCCATTTTACAGATGGTGAAACTTATTTGCCTAACCAAACCATAAGAACACCAACCCAAGTGGTCCCAGGTCCTATACTCACCTTGAAATTTCTGGGCTACCTTTTGGAAGTGGGGGTCCACGGAACTCCAGTGACAATACAATTGAGCCAGGCTGACATCCAGCTGGAAGTACTGATGCACTGCCTTTAGCTCTTCTGGTGTGGGCCTGCCAATCTGGCCCTTTTCCCCTCGGTACACAGTGCAGTAGAGCTGCTCCTCAGTCTGGGTCAGTGTCCATACCTGGTCTGCCAGCACGCCACTCCAGTGCGCAGGGTTTTGCTCCCTCCACCTGAGACCCCAGACAGGGCAATACTAGTACTCAGTTCCCCTTCCTGCAGCCTTTGAGACCCTCACATCCTACAACCTCTCCTATACAAAACCGATTTATGAATTGTAAAGTAAAAGTGTTCTTTTATTTTACATCAATTGTATCATTTGATCCTCACAAGAACGCTGCACAAGCTTATTACGTCCACTTTATAAAAGAGGTAACAGCCCTGGCCAGTTTGGCTCAGCGGTTGAAGCGTCGGCCTGTGGTCCAGAGAGACCCGGGTTCGGTTCCCGCTAAGGGCACGTACTTCGGTTGCAGTTTGTCCCCGGCCCTGGTTGGTCGTGCGGGTGGCAGCCACTCGATGTGTCCCTTCACGTCGATGTTTCTCCCTCTCTCCCTCCCACTCTATCTGTACAAAAAATGGAAAAATATCCTCGGGTGAGGATAAAAAAAAACCAAAACAAATAAAAGAGGTAACAGGTGGCAACTATCTTCCCACCCTTCCAACAATCACCGGGCTATTAAAAAAAAAAGAGGTAACAGGTTCTCCACCCGTGCCTGTTTCCTCTTTGGTACCCTGAGGTTTCTTCCATTACACGCAATATTCCTTTGCACCCCAGGCCAGGGTCACTCACCGGAAGGATTGTCCAGAAGCCAGAACCAAGTCCAGGCGCAGCTCAGAGCGTGGACAGGGGATAGAAGCCCATAGGGCAGGGACCGAGGATAGAGTACGATGCCCCATGCTACCTGGCAAAAGGAAGCAGGCTAATATTTCTATATCAGGCTCCGCCCCATAATAGCCCCGCCTACTCAGAACCCGATCAACCCGCCGACAGCAGGCCACGCCCACCAACACACCACGAACCTGAAGGACTCGCCCACCAAATCCTCGCCTCTTAATCTGGTTATCTAAGGCCCGCCCAGTTCTATTGACTTCCTCCATTCCCCGCAGGCCCCGCCCCTTACAACCCACCAAAGCCCCGCCTCTTCCACTCTGTTCCAACCTTCTCTAGTCATAAACTTCCCTCCAGCAACGGCCCCAAGGCCCTCGCCACTGTACCCGGAAGGTGCCGCTAGTTTTCGAAGTGCGCGCAAGCGCACTCTTCCGGCTTCGCCAGGGGCTGACCTCTCCTCTACCGGAAGTAGGGCTGAAGTCCGGTTTATTGGATGCAGAGGTAGCCAATCCGCGGGGAAATAAGAGGCGCCAATGAGAACGGGCGTGGCGTGGGAAGGCGGTCCTTCCCGATTCGCCTGAGGGGTTAGCGCGCCCGGCCTCGCTGTGGGCTCGCTCTGAGCCTTTTCTCTGCACTAGGAGGGGCAGTGTGTCCACATGGACCAGGCACAGAGTGCACCCTAAGGGCCCTGTTCTAACTGCCTGAAGTCCTCAGACTTGCCGGCCCGCACAACCAAGTTCTTTCTCCCCGCCATCTTCAGAGAGCCTTTCTCCACCAGACCTCTCCACTCTGCTATTCACTCACCTCAGTCCTCCAACGATGAACCCTTCACAGCTCCGGCCCACCGAACTCCTGTGAGGAGTCTCCACGGCGTCTGTCTCCTGAGGATTCTGCCTTCGCGCACGCTGCTTTTAGGCCTCCTGACCAGCTCGAGGCCCGTCCCGCCTCTCCTACCGCCTGCCTGCCAGCGCTGCGCCCTGTCTCGGCTTTCCTTCAGTATTCCACCGTCTCATGCCGCGCTGAAAGCGGCTTGTGTAGGGGCTTTCTCTGGGACTGGGAAAGGCAACCCGGTGGAAGCACCAGTGCGCTGCCAGAGGCAGCCTCTGCCCAACCCAGTTGCCTGAGTCCAGGAAAGATGTAACTTCTTCCCTTCTGGAGAAAGTCACAAAAAGCTAGGAGACCTGCGCTTTTAACTAGGCGATCATTTTTAACCTTCTAGCAGTGACTTATGGTTGCTTTATGATTAGACTGCAAATTCCTTAAGGGCAAGATTGCAGCTGATTTATCTTCGTGCCCCACCCACATTACCTAGCAGGGAGTACCAGGAATTTGGTACCATCAGACATGCTGTTGTCTCAGTTCCACTCCTTAGCAGCTCCAAGACCCTTGGTAGCTAATTAGTGTGCTTGTCTCATACATTAGCACGCCAGCCCACAGGTGCCTAGCGCTTGGAAGGCATTCCTTCAGTGAATATTTGAATTGGAAAAGGTGCCAAGATTGGGAATGAAGAGCAACCCTCTACATTCCTGCTGTCCCCAGTTAAGAAGGGGAGGGGTTGCCCTGGCTGGTTTGTCCCAGCGGTTAGAGCGTCCACCTGCGGTCCCGAGAGACCCAGGTTCGGTTCCCACTAAGGGCGTGTGCCTCGGTTGTGGTTTGTCCCTGGCCCTGGTTGGTGGTGCCGGCCACTTGATGTGTCCCTTTTGCGTCGATGTGTCTCTCTCTTCCTCTCTCTCCCTCCCACTCTATCTGAACAAAAAAAAGAAGGGGAAGGTCACAACTACCGTGACTCTGAAGCCTTGGCCTCTCCTGGCGAAGAACTTGAAGTATCTCAAATTCATGAAAGAATGGGCAATAGACTTCCTCCAGTTTAGCATACTGGTTAAATTGCAGACAGACCTGAATTCAGATCCTAGCTCTGCAACTTCCTAGTTGTGAGAACTTAGGCGAGTTACTTAATTTTTCTAAACCCGTGTCTTTGTGGAGATAACCACCCTATTATTAACCTTCTCTATAGTTAATGCAAGGATTACATGAAACTATTTAAAGGAGCTCAGCACAGGTACTACCACTCAGTAAGTGCATGGGGAATGAGAGCTGTCATATTATCTTTACTGTTATCTTACAAATGGGGTATGCAGAGCAGCCAGCAACCACTTGGGCCCAATTATTTGCCATTCCTGGGGGACAGAACCTCCCTTTGCCTTGGTATAAGGCAAGAACCAAAAATTCCAAACAATTTATTTTCTAAGAATCAATATATTTTTTTCTTTTGAAATAAATACAAACCAGTTTGAAAGGTGAGGGATTTTATGGGAAGAAGGGAAGAGGGGACAGGCCCCAGTCTTTTTAGTACCAAATGACTCTGGCGCGACCCGGAAACGCAGTTACAAATGAGAATAATTTAAATTCTCCATTAATTACAGTATTTACAACAGCAGGGGAGGGGGTCACCTAGTGCCCCTCTTTCTGGGCTGGACAGACATCAACCCCACTGTTAGGCTGGGCAGATGCCCTTCACCTCCTCACCTGCACAGGCCTCAGGCCACCAGGCAGTTATGGATTCTCCTGGCATGAGCAGGCAGAGGTGGTGGGATGGCCTGTTTTATGCAGTGTCCTAACCTTGGCCCACCACCCTGCACTACAATGCTGTGAGGTCTCTGGAGCTTTCTGGCCTATGGGACCTCCCCTCTCCTTGTGAAGAGCTACCATGGACCCTTGGAGTGTTCTGTACAGTCCAGCTGCACTCAGGGCAGGAGGGACCTCCCCTACCCAGCTTCCCCTGAGACTGGCCCCAAGACCAGGAATGAGTCAGTGCAGAGGCCGGTGCCACTCCAGGACAGTGAGCAAAGGGGAGGAGAGAGGTGGCAGGGCACTGTAGGTTGGGCTGTGCTAGGCAGTATCAGTCACTATCACTGGTCTCGCTGCTCTGTTCGCCCTGGACCTTGCTTCGGTGCTGCAGAGCCCTGTGATAGGCAATCTGCACTGATTTTCGGATGTTAGACTTGCGGCCCTCCAGCATCTTCTCCTTGTCGAGGTCCTGGTTCACACCCAGAGGAACCAGCTTTGTCCTAGGCAGCCACTGCCTATAAAATGAGATGAGGATCAAATAAGTCATCTCTGGAAGAACAATAAGCACCAACCTTCCTCACTCCACTCATTCAAAAAACACCTCCTAAGAGCCAGGCTATGGTGGGCACTGGGGTTCAAAGACCAAGAGACACAGTCCCTGCCCTCAAATAACTGCTCACAGTGATGAAAGAGCCCAGTCAACCGTCACACTGAGGGGTAACCACAGGGTATTTATGGGTGCAAAAAGGAGGAGCCCTGACCTAACCTGAAATAGGTACCCTGTTCCACAGGCTCCAGGCAGACTTTACTGGTATTAAAAATCCTCTGCAGACAATTAACATGAAGATTACATATGTAAATGAGACAGGGACTCAGAATCTGAGTTTATGCCTGCTTTATCCTCATCTTGTCACCATGGAGACAGAGGTGGGAAAATTAAGTCTAGAAGTCACCTGAGTCTGGATGGGGAGCCACTCTCATATTTGTCACAGTCACTGATTGTCCTTTGTTTTCTAGCCACAGCTGTTTGTCAGCTGCTGCCCACTCAGTCAATCAGACTCATAATCAACACAGCCCTTTTGCTTAAAAACCCAAGTCCCTCCCCCACTGATTTGTGATAGCCCAGTCTGTCTGTTGCTGGAATTTCCTGGCAGTCAGCCCCCATATCCAGGGTTGCATTTGTGGCTGAGTCACCACATACTCCCCTCCTCCCTTACCAGGTTCGCTTGTTGTCAAAGAAGAGGACGAGGTAGAGATGCTCTCGGGCTTCCTGGGTCATCTGCTCCCCAAGTTTCAGCACCTCTAGTGGGGGTACAGGAATGGGAACCCCATGGTGGAACATACCTTCCCGGGGCATCTTTGGATCAATGATCTGAAGGAGTAATAAGATCTTGGTTTGGTTCAGTCTCCTTCTTCCCCAAGGCTTACCCTACCCAAGAATTTGGAAACTTAGAAGTAGTGACATGGAAAGGTTATCATGCTACTAGGGCTGCAATGCTGACGTTCTTCCTATGCTGAACTATTTCAGAGCCCAAGGGGTAAAGGAAAGGGAAAGGGAGAGATGGAGAAACTAATTGGGACCTCTAACTCTCTACCTGCCAAAGACCCTTATACTCTGCAGCTCAGCAGAGAGTAGGAAAATCTGCTAATTATGAGTCTGCATTCTGGGGTTAAGAGGCAAGGAATATGACAAGAGAAGCACAAGCCTACCAGAGCTGGGTACGATGGATACCCTCGGCATTTGGCCCACACCAGGTCCAGAGCATCCAGAGGGGAGTCTTCATCCTCTGACAGCCAGCTAGCTCCCCGGCCCAGACTCTTCCTTACCACTTCACAGGAATGGGAGAGAGGGGGCAGATCAGCAGACAGGGGGATGGCAAGGCCCGGACACTGGGCCCCCAGTATCCCTGGCCTTGGGTGAGGGTACTTACTGCTGTGGCCCACGCCGCGGCCAGTGCTCACGGAGTAGGCCTCGTTCTCAGTGCCTGAGGTATCTTCACTGCTGTCTTCTGGGAATGTACCCCGAGAGAAGGAGGGCTTGCCCCTGCCTTGTTTTGAGGGTGTTGTGCTGTGGACAAGACAAGGGGAGCTCAGCTCAAAGGAGAAGAGTGAAGAATGGTATGGTGGGTGTCCTTTCTTCTTAAACCCCCAGTGTCAAAGACTTTTGGAAAGCAGAGGCTACTTAAAGATTTTTACATCCAAATGCTCTCAGTGGTTTGGCAGTAATTTGGCTGACGTAGGCTGGATTTAGCAATGGTGGTGATGATGTGTATGCCCTGTCTAAAAGCAATAATGGCTAGATTTGCCAGATTTAATTTTTAAAAATATAGAAAGTGGGAATTTTATGTGGCACTTCTGGATTCATTTTTTAAAAAGCACCATGCTGGCCAAACAAAATATGTCTGTAGGCCAAATCCAGGCATCAGTTTACACCCTCTGATCTAAAACATCAGCTGAACCCAGTATGGTTCCATCCGTTCCATTATGTTGATATTCTCATCTATTCCATTTATTTTGCAGAGAACCTTGGGTTTGAGCCATCTTAATCTAGGCCGAGATGGCTGCCACCCCACTTCCCATAGGGAAACCCAGAAGAACATCCCAGAGGCAGGCCTTGATCTGGAGGGCCGGTACCTGGTCCGATCTGAGGCAGCACTGCTGCTGCTACTGCTGCTGGACTCAGAGTCT